ATTGAATCTTTGTTCGTCGAATCAACACCCAACATATATAGTATTAATGATGCAACGCCTATACCAGAGATATGAGAAATTTTACTACCGATAAAAACAAAGACTATGAGGTGATAGGAATATAAAAATCAGCTATCGGAAGTAGTGTGATTACATGGATATGATTGTGAGCAATAATTTATGCTCGAAACGTTGTCATTAAGTAAATAACACTGTATTACTGTGTGTTATAAATCAAACAAACAAATCTAATATAGAATTACATCAATTTGAGCCGATTCATACTCCACAGACGTGACCTCGGTTTATTCCATTCAGTTTACGATAGTTTATGCAGTATATTGCATCATGTCTTTAACAGTATTTTAGTCAGCTGAGTACCAACAAGTCAGATAGTGATATTTTCTGACCCTAACAGTCAAATAACTAAGTCTATGCTGATTTTGTGTATTATGGAGTGCATCAATTCATTATAAATAAATTTACAATCTGTTTTTACACATAATGTTCAGATTTTTAGGTTCTAGTAGCATTTTTGGAGCAATATGACTGCCAGTGATCATACCAATAGTTGGAATCGAGATTAAAATTGTGTGAAAACATTCAGTTTAAATTTGTGTACAGTAAATTTCATCAAAAGACATTCCTTTATTTTCAAGTCAAAAATACTCGTATTAAATACATTTATGTGTGTACGACAAATAGTTCAGTTGACTTATTTCAACCTATAGTCTACAGTCGTAATTCATCCCATGTATTTTAAGTAACAAATTAAAACAAATGAAACTTATACTTTACTTTGGTGCTAGTACTGCAATCCACGACATGCTTTTCGTGCTACCATGGAATCGTCAAGTAAACATACCAGCACCCCAGTTAGTGATGGTATTCCCGCCGAGACTCAAACCCTAAACTTAGCACTTCAAGCACCTCAGCGTTATCTCCTAAGCTACTGAGGTATGAGGACCACCTCTTGTGCAATGGGGTTCAGTTGGCATTCATTGATACATGTAATTTAACTCACTAGGGTGCAGCACAATGAATATTTAGGCAGTACTGATGCATCCGCATAGGGACCAGTCTGTCAACAAAGGTGGAGCATTTCGACCTAATGTTGCTACGAAAAGTGACAGGTATCAATAAATAATAATAGAAATTTATTTGAAACAGTAATTCGACAAAAAATATAAGGGGAGAAGACAAACCGTTGTTGTTGCCTTCCCGAGTTGAAGCTAGCCAATAGTAATAATAATAATTTTTATTATAACTTTATTCCAGACAATGTGTTTGATGCATTATGGAGTTTAGTTTTCGGAAACAATCGACAGGAAACCGTAGACTTAGGTTTGGTGCTTGGTGGCACTTGTCAGCAAGGCGTATTTACGACCTCAAATGGACTGATTTCCTGTCTGCGATTCGAACCCCCATCACTTAGTGTTTCAGTCAGCGATATTACCACTAAGGTATTCGGGATGCGACTAACCTCATTTAAGACTGGATTAACTACATTGACTGATCACTGAAGAGCGACCGATTTCCTGTTGTCTAGTCCTGAGTGCTGACCGAATCTTAATGTGGTTGGTACCAAGTTTGGAAACTCAGCATCGTGGCGCACTTCATGGAATTTAATAATAATAGCAATATTTCAGCAAATATGTGTCAACAAAATAATTGTAACATCTCAGTAATGTTAGCGATAAAACTGTTGCAGGTGATAAAATGAAACAACTAGCTGCTGTTGGGAAGGAAGATGGCGATGGTTCATTCAGTCAGCACGAAAATCTGTAGTTCAAGCTAACTATTTCAGAATTACGTTAGTGACGGATCGTGGCTAGCAGTGGAATCCAAGATGAGCGCTTCGTCCTACTTGGGACTCGTCAGCTGGATGTACCTGCTTCCCAGCGAGTGTTGCTCCCAGCGGGATTCGGACTCAGGAGTGATCTCTTCAAACGCCAGCGCGTTGCCCACCACACCACCGAGCCACAGTAGCCACCCAACAATTATACTTTTTCAGAAACAGTAATATTAAGTACTGTTATGCGCTTAAATACCCATCACCATATACCATGATGTTTTTTCTTTATTTTATGATTTACTTGCTAAATGGCAGATTCAAAACACTTTAAAAAAGCTCAAGAATACATAGTACGACTTGAAGATACATTTTAATGATTAAAACAAGTTAAAAGAAAGAATTTTGATATGATACATTCGGTTGAAAACTTTTGGTAGCCGAAAGTTCAAGCAGGCCGCCAAACGACTAAGTAATAAAAAGCTCGTCATACCATCTACAGTTCCTGGGATGAATCATCAGTAAATATTCTCGATATTTCAACTTGAGACGAAAGAGAGGTTCAGTGCTTTCTAATATCCTATGATTATTCATCGTGAAAACTACCTCAGAATTGCTGAGTTGCTCACAAACTACATAGATGAGAAAGCTACACCTTTAATGGTATACGCATGCTACAGATGTAAATATGCTTTCATTTTCCATTCTTCATCAAGTCCTTTTGTAAAACGTTCCAGTGGCGTTTACTTCTTGCAACATAACTGAAACCGGCAGTTAGTATTCTTATATTATTCTTGTAAATTCACCTGTCTAATTACAATGACTGCATTTCATTTCTAATAGTGTTTCAGTCGTTGGACTCAGTTAGCACCTATCATAGTATATTCCACCCGATTCCACCCATTCTGTGGCTACTTTGCCCTTATAATTAATGCTGTTAAACACTTGGAAAATATTCATCTTAATAGTTTCTAACTGTTATTTTCCAGCCGTACTCGACTGCGGAAACTCATGTCCATGACTTCTATTCAGTATCTACTGGGAACTGAATAGCACCATTAACACAACCATTGACCAACCTTTAGGAAACCTGGTTTAAATATGATTTGCATACTTTTCAGTCTTGGTCTTCTTTCCGTAAAGAGTGCAGAATTCGTCTTAGAGGTAATGATCGACGTTAAGGTTAACTGGGAATCAGATCACCTGTGAAATGTGATTTTAAAGCTTGAAGATATGAATATTTCTCATAAAATCTAGTGCATTTAACTGATAACATTCAAACGGTTACATTTTCAAGGTACTTACAACGATAGAACTACGTTTCATGCATTTTTTGTCCCACTGACTGATTAACATAATATGGGTCGATTACTGGGAAGTTATCATAAATACCTGATGAAGCATGAAGTTAAAATGACGTGGGAAGACAATAATTTTAGTAAAACTTAAATCATAAATGGTCTCAGTATAAAATTCTAAATGTTCAACGACAAAAAAACTATAAACGGCGCTCAGCAACCATGTGCTCATTCCTGTTGTAGGCAGTGAGCCATACCTATTATGTAAAAGCTAATGATACTAATCGGTTGTTCAAACCTAGGTAGGTGGAGTGGGGTTCGGACCCATGATCCACTGGCTGGAAGTCATCTCCTTAAACCAGTGAGTCATATCTCCATATGTTCATCTAGTCTTAAAGCAATAGCCGCATTAGCTTAACTCATTGCCGGTTAATAACTTTTAACAGTCCGGCTACAAGAAATCAGACAGCCCAAAATGAGGGGTAGAATCAGATTTCGTTTTTATTCATAAGAATATGACGTTAAACAGGATGAATTCTCGACTGGAACAAGAGATCTTAGAAATTATATTTCTCGTGCTTTGTCAGTCAAGCTGAAATACCTTAATACTGATGGGAACTTGTTTAGGCACTTGACAACGGATACATAACACCAGTAACCCTAAAAGTCATCCACACCATATCTTAAATAATCAACTAGGTTTATTTATTTCTGGTGGAAGTGCAGATTTTCATAAAATACAGTTGTTGTTGTTATTAAGCTGGAGTTTAGCTTTACTCCAAAACAGAATGTCAAGGTTCAGAATTGTTTTCGCTGAACTGTGCAATCCATAATAAGCTGTAATGAACTATGTTAAACACAGTCGGGAAAATCCTCCCCCTCACCTCCGCACTGATGAAAGTGAAATGAAGGCTGACTACCTAAAATACAAACAAAAGCTATGATACTTATTAGTATACACTAGCTATTTCCTTACAATAAAATGCGTACTGTCCAATGGCAATTAGCAGTTTTGCAGGCTTTTCTATAAAGTGTACAAGTGGAGAAAGAGACAGAAAGGATAAAAAGTAATTAAGATAATGACAGTGTTGTTGCACTTTGTTACCATCATGACGGTGCACAATATTATTGCATTATTCCTTCATTATGTGATAGGAGGGTAGGGAAGTTTTGGAACAGCGAATCACAGGGTTTTTAGTGTACCCTAATTTCTCTCATTTTTGACTGTTCATAGAGGTGAATAAAAATCTGTGAATTCTAGTAGTAGAGAAATGTACCTACAACACTGATTATAACAGCAACGGGAGCAATGACAACAGCAGAGGCAACCACATCATTGTTGTGTCCAGTAATTATTAAGCAGATTTAATAGGATAGGGCACAGAAATGGAACTCAGACATGTACATATACACAAGGTTATTTGTGCACCAGTATGTGTGTAGAGGATATGTGAAGTAGGTCCTTCACAAGCAGCCACTGTTGCACACACATACACACACAAGCACAATCATCTTATTAACTGAATTTCTCCCCCTTTTGCCCAAACATCATTCACCGTGACCATTATTACCAATAAACTCTAAGCAGTAGTAATAGCAAACAGAGGAACAGTTGGCACAGTGCACAAAAAGGTGCAGGTTAAGAAAGTGATAATAATTTGCGTGTAAAATGATTTGCCTAAAGCATACCATATAAATTCATGTTTATAACCCCAATAACCGTATTCCTACCGAGAGCATTCATAGAGTGTTCAGCTGATTTTCAAAGTGTAAGCAATATCATTTCAGAAAAACAAACTCCTATTCTTTGACATTGACATAAATCTTCATCAACACACAAATTTAATCTTGCTTGAGCAGAGATACTGAAAAAGTGTCAATCAATTCTGTTGCTGTTTAGTTGTGAAATAATGCAAAATACCTATTCAAATTATTATGATGAATATCTACGTTCCATTACTGGTGAGTTAATTATTTGACTATTCAGTAATGACGTACATAGACACTGTTAACTGTGGTTCTTATCCTTTCCTTCTGTTAAGCTCAGCATATAAGCTTTTAAATGTTCGCCGTACGACACCATCAGCATTATCGTGATTCACAAGCGTATAGCGTATAAAAAGCTAATTCACTTAAAGATGATTAAACTCTATTGAAGTCTTTAACAAAACCTAAGTCAGCTAAGTGACGGACTCGTCAGCTGGCACAATATTTCCACTGTTTCCTGAGAAGGTTATTGTCATTAAAAACAGGATTACTAATCAATGTGCTGTCCATATAAACTTGCATGCAGGCAAACAGTTTTTTGCAGGTACCTGTCCAAAATACATTTAGGTTACTTACTCCACAAGGACCGAATTCATACTTATATTTAAGTTAATTTTGGGCCTACTATGAAGCTAAAATAACTTGTACAGCTAGGAAAAACATAGCTGTCAGTTTTCCCAACCAAGGTTTCCTCAAAAACCTCAATCAAATTTCGATATACTTTTATTTTCTTAAATTTTCAACTTAACTAACTGATCATGAATTCTTGGTGGTGTCAAGTAAAAGTTTTGCAAAATGTTGTTATCATTCCTGAAAGTACAAAAACAGCTACCACTCTGTATGTCTTCAGTTTAAACTATTATAAATCTTATGAACGTGATAAATCATATCTGTTCTTTCTGTTTATATCAGATCATACTTAGAGTGTTTTACGTAAAAGGGCAGATGAAGAGGTTGCTTTGTTGTATATCTGCTACACTGAGTAACTGAATAAAGATATTTCTCTAAAAATTTAGTTCCTATTACCAATAAATCTTTATTCACAATTTTATAAGGACGTTGGATACTTGGCGCACAAAAGGTTTAACAAGTTATCTGTCATCACTAGACAGCTACGTTGAAAAAATTAGCCAATGAGTAACCGTAGTAGTAGTAGTGATACACCATTTAATTGTATGCAGAAATTTGCAAATTTATTCGCAATTTCTAACTCATAGTGGGAGTGAGTTTGTTTGTTATGTACCAGAGATACTACGCCGTAATGATGCGAGGTCATCGTCGACTACCGAGTGGTTTATCGCTCTAGACACCATGATTAATAATTAAGATGGAAAATGATAAGAACCGATGGATTTATTGGCCACGAAGGGGATCAACAATAAATAGTAGGCTTAAAGTCCCTACATAGTATTTGTGGTATCTCTTATGACATTCCTTAGACAGTCAGTGGCATGATTTAAATAATGTGGTTATTAGAAACTCGGCTTGTAGTGGTCTTGATACAATTGAGTAGTTTTGACTAAAGACAAAAATTAGTCGCGTAAAGTGATTTCACTCGAAGATTATACCATTTTTCATTTGGTTGGTTTTCTGACAGTTCTAGCAAGAACGATTCTAGGGATATTGAAATTTGCACTAATTAGGAAGGCTTTTGTTAGAGTTTTTTTTATCTAAAAGGAAGCCTCTTTACTGGACGATTGAGTTTGAAGTGCACAGAAAATTTTGTTAAGTTCACTCCATCTCTGAGATAAGAAAATATTTCAGCAATCTGTTACCCTGCTTAGTGAAACTTTAAAGTGCATTTTGTGTATGCTTACTGTTAAGTAATATGTGAGACAAAGACTTCTTCAGTCAATTAGAATGTTATCATGTAGTCTTAAAATGCGTTCAAAAATAGTATTCATTAAGCAATGACATTAGATAGAGAATCATAGGAACTCTGAGAGTCTTCGACAGCTATTTTGTTCTAGTGTGGGACCTTTCACGTGCATGTGTAACTCAGTGTTAAAGTGACTACTCAGTCTGTTTTGATATCGCTTTGATAGCCTAAAGTATTTAGTTTCTAAAAACAATGCATGCATTCACATATACAGGTTCCCAGCTAAACTCCAAACCAAGAAATTAGCTGTAAGGTTCTCGAACTACAGCTTTGCTGACGAATTCCTTACATCCAGTTATCCTTTTCAGTTGGAATAGAATGCAAATTACATCATTCATACATTTTTTAAAATGCCTAATCATCATTTTGTCTGTTTTGTTTAAATACACTCAAAATAGTTAAACAAGGAACCCTTTTTAAAATAAATATAATTGCATTTATTAACACCTTTTCACTGCTTTATACTCAGTAGAATTTGTTATTTAGAATCACATCAGTAAGTGGTATTTCATTTAGATTGAACAACAACCATGAAGTCATGAAGTGTGTTCTTTGGTTATTTCCGTTCATTTCAAGAAGTTAAATAATGTTATGCAGATGAAATATAGCTACATTTTATTTATTATTTCTTGAGTTCACCATGCACCATTCATACTTCGAAATTCAAGGTCGACAGCAACTTGTGTATTGCTTTCAACCGGGATTGCTTTTATCTTGATTAGTGAAAAATTATGTCAGACTTTCCAACGATTTTAAACAGCTTAGTATTGCTGCATCTTATTTAGAGTTGGTCCCAGCATGTTTTTCCCGTCCACTAGGTCAGTAAGCCAGGTTTTTCTTTTATAAGACAGCTTTTTACATGTTGGAAAATAATTTTCCATCAAGTGACTCACAAATATAAGAAAACTAACTCTCTGAGTTCCACTAAAAACCATCATATTCTAGTTGGCCAAAATGGAAAAAGACAAGGAGGTATTTGTATAAGGGGAAAAGAACTATGAGAAAATGTCAGAAGGTTAATCTTTTCAGATTAGTGGCAGATAATAACAAATTAATTAGTATTCAGAAATTTCAGTTACCTTCAACTTATGTAATATTCCTGAAACATTGTAGTATATATTTGCTGATTTCTTGGCTAAGCACTTACGTCCGAAACTAATGTTATGCAAATGTGAGAATTGTCCCCCTTCTTTACAACCAAAATAATCTACTGAATGTCATCAGTGAGGTTTAAAGGCAAAAGAAAGTCGGAGTCATAAATAAGGAATCACAGGAACTGTCCAGAACATATAACAAAAATATTAGCAGGCGGAGATGGATGGTATGTATGCAAAGAGGGCGGAATGGTGGAATCAAACAACCCGGAATTCTGAGTGCACATTACTGAATGATGGTAAACGCTATCGGTTGCCAAGTTTGCATTTCCAACAAGCAATAATTATAGGACCATTGGAACTCTCATCTTTTGTTTTTGATCTAATGTTTCTTTTGTTAAGTACTCTATGCAGTTATTGGAAGATGGACAGTCTCAGGTTGAAATTTTCCCATCGAACTTCAACTGTTGAAATAGATAAGGGAGAATACCTGGGGCATTGCTGATAAATTTCGATAATGATTTTGTAATTATGAGGCTAATATTTCTTGATTTCTGACATATACACCCACCGTGTGTATTGCCAAAAATTCGTAATACCATAAATGATATACAAACTTGTCAAGAAGGTTTTATAAGTTCCCGAGAATATTTGATTTAGTGAATATAAAGTCGCGTCAGACACAATGAATGTTGATCACACATTGTCTGGGTTTGCACAACAACCTAGACTACCAACGAGGCAAATAACCTGACAAATTAAATTGAATACACATTTGTTGTGTTTTAGTATAACTGTTTTTTATATCATACCGTCGTTATTTGGACCGAATTGATCAGTCTCTATTGGCATATGGGCTCCTGTGAGGGTGCCTCGATATTGCCTGCGTTCTAATTATATTATTGATGGATCGTGGCTGAAAGCATGTACATCTAGCTGACAAGTCCCAAATAGGACGAAATGCGTATCCTGGATTCCACTGCTAGCCACGATCCATCATTAATATTTATAGTGTTTTGTTTTGGTCTAAGTTGTTACAGCTTGAGAAGTCAGTCATCAAGAAACATGGAGTAATTCACGCTTGGAGCTGTATGATTCCCTAAATTTTCTTCAGTTTGTTATTATGATCATTTGTGAGACAGAAGTAGAAACGGCTTAGATTTAACACAGAAAACTGCTTGGACTTGAGTCTAGTACCGTTGACTGACATGTTCAAACCATCTCATGCTCGTATAGCTTAACTTATTGTCTCATTATGAAACATAATTTTATGAGTTAGTAGATAGGCAAAGTTAAATTATTCAGCCTAACGATTTCAAAACTTCTACGGTTATCCATCCGTCTATAGGTTCTGAAATTTATTTGCAAACTCTGACGAACAGTTAAACGATTTATACCGATAACAGGCAAAAGTTTATCACTTATGCTTAGTGTTTTGCATGAAATTAATGGTCATGAATTGATAGTTAAGGCATTTCAACACAAAGTAACTCCTAAAAATAAATGGGTAGTAATTCACTGGGTGTTTAACTTAAGGGTTAGTCAGTTAGTCGCACTGGATTCATTTTATTGAAAAGTCTAAGCACTACAGCCGTTTATATGTTTAGGCAGTATGCTGTAGCAACCTAGTCATTCAACTGAGAACCATACATATAAGCTAGAGCACTTTAATATGAAAGACTCAGATGACTGGAGTTATTGACCAACAACTACTGGTTACTATTGAGAGATGATTATTGCAAAATTTTCTGTGTTTTTAATTTGAGAACACTTCAAAACCTGGTATATAAGCAGAACAAAATTTTATTTCCAATGATAACGTTTTCTGAAGCTCCGCAATTGTGTTCACGTTTCATACAAACAGCTTATTGTTGAATAATAGAATATAATTACGTCACTAGTATATTGTTCACTTTTTTAGTTCGTACAGACGGAAAATGATCTTGTAATAATTCACAAAATGGTGAAAGTAATAATAATTTGACATTGTAAAAGTTTTTTCGATGTACGAAGCCAAATAGCTGAATACCCTCTTCATAGATGCAAAAAATGTGAAGAAAGGAGATTTCATAATGAAGGTGACCATAGTGAACCGTTGGTTAGTTTTTAGAGAATAATAAGAGCTAAGGTGAGCTTCCAAGAGAATAGTGTGTAAAAGAAACATGATAATGTCGATCTGGTGAAGTATCTGGTGTATGTAAAAAGTTCAATTTGAGTAAATT